GCTGCCCGGCACCGTAGTTCGGGGCCCACCAGGACTGCCTTTTCTACTTTTTGTCTGTCGCCTGCAGAGCTTTGAGGGAAGCAGAGTCACCCTTGGGAACTTTAGCCTCTCGAGTCTGGGCTCCTTCTTCCATCTTCCATGCATCGCCTGCACTGCAGGCCCTGCCTGTGAGCTTCAAAACTGCCATTTCTCCACTCCCTGGACCTTGTTGCCTGCTTGTGATTGGGAGTTTGTGTGTTTATTTCTTTTGCTTGCGTACCCCCCCTAATTTTTCTTTATTTAAAAAATTTTTAAAGTATTTATTATTGGGGTAAAATATAACATGATATTAGTTTCAGGGGTACAACATAATGACTTGATACGTATATTGAGAAGTGTTGACCTCAATAAATCTAGTTAACAACCGTCACCCATACATGGTTATGAAATTTTATTTTTTCTTTGATGAGAACTCTGAGGATGTAATCTCTTAGCAAGTGCTTGCTTATTTTTGAGATCTTTATCTCAGGTCATTTTAAATACTTCCTTAGTCATAATGCAGTCGACATTTTACTTTGCATTTAAATAGGACACTTTAAGAGCTTTTAGGAAAGTTCTCTCTTGAGCACATACATAGTCTAGGCACAGTGGGAATATGCGAAGCTACTACTATTATCACTTCTAATTAGCTGGAGTAATAGTGCTCCTGCAGATAGCTTAGGGCAATTCTGGCTGTTTAATTTTTAGCCTATTTTAAACATCATGAGAGCCAGTTATTGTCTTGTGTTTTGGAAACCCTGGGGAGAGGTCTGACTGAGCAGGGGCGGTGGATTTGGACATCTGCACCTAAGAGATGTTTGGAAATTGCAGGGATTACCCAGGGATGGTGAGCAGAGGAGGATGGGCATTGGAACCCCGGGGGAGGAGTGGGGAGAGACAACAACATTTTAAAAGACCAGCAGAGGCAGAAGGACCCCTGAGTAAGACTGTGGAGGAAGGTTAGAAAGGAAAGACGACAGGCAGGGACATGCAGGGTCACAGAAGGCCAGCGGTTTCCAGGATGGAGTAGCATCCAGTACTCAAGGTCAAGAACATGCAGGACTTGCCATGTTGGAGAATGGTAGGAGTGGCTCCTCGGTGCCTTGAAGCACACATGAGAAATGAGGCAGAGTCGGGAGCAGTGGATTCCTTCCAGAATTTTGAGTGAATAGAGAAGAAGAAAGGGGGATTAGTCAGCAAGCACCACAGGGTCCAAAATTGGTTTTCAGGGATGGGAGACATCCTGTCTGGAGCTGAGGAGTTCTGTGTTTTCGTATTCCCAGGGATTGTTTGCCTGGGTGTCACTGGACATGTTTCTCTGCTCTTTGGAGTTCTGTAAATTGGTAGGTCAGATTTAGAGACTTGAACCGGGTCAGCCTGGATTATTTCAGCAAGGCTACTATTCTCAGGGTGGCATCGTGGAGACATGAATGGGCTTTTTTGTGAATTTGCAGACATTGATGATCATTGCCTGGAACAGTTAATTCCTTTAGGCATTACACATGGGATTTCAAACACATTTTTCAGTATGAGAGGTTTTGTGGATGTAAATATCCCCCTGCCCCAGATCAGTGGGTACACACATTGACTGCAAAGTGAAAATACAAATACATTTTTTATTCAAAAATGATCTCTTGACTTCTCTGCTCTATGCCAAACACTGCTCTAGGTCCTAAGTATAGAGTGGTATGTAAAGGTCTATACAGAGGCCTGGGCCTATGAAGCTTCTAATAAGTGGACTCAGGGTTTTGCGAAGTTGATGAGTGATAACACAGGGCTGCTCACGCTGCACGTAGAGCCAGTGCTGGTGAGAAGGGTGAAGGAGGACAGCTTCGCAGCTGGGGACGTGGTGGTGGCCCGGGGCAGTGGCATGATGCACAGGTGTACCCAGGAATGTTTGGGGGTCCCTAGGGATTGAGTGGTGCTTGGCAAAGCTGATGAAGCACTGAGATAATTTTTTAAAATGATCCGTTACCATGTCGGAAAAATCATATACAAAGTACAGAGAATTTCATCATATTATTCTGTAATAATATCGTGTAAAAACAACACACAGACAAATTTCTTAGAACAGACAAAATCCTGCACATTGAGAACACCCAGTGCTGATGAGGACGGAAGTAACATGAAGCCTCATTCATTGCTTGTGGGCATGGAAAACGGGGTAGCCACTATGGAAGGCAGTTTGTCAGTTTCTTGCAGAATTAAATATACTCTTACCATACAATGCAGCAATCATGCTTCTTGATCTATGCCCAAAGGAATTAAAAATTTGTGTCCACGCAAAGTCCTGCACGTGGTTGTATGCAGAAGCTTTCCTCATAATTGCAAAATTGTTTTGGGAGCAACTAAGATATCCTTCAGTAGGTGAATGGATAAATAAACTGCGGTCCATCCAGACAATGGAGTATTATCCAACACTAAAAAGAAATGAGCTATCAAAGCATGAAAGTACATAGAGGAACCTTACATGCTCCTTGCCAAGTGCAAGAAGGCAATCTGAAAGGCTATTTGCCATATGATTCCAGCTCTCTGACGTTCTGGGAAAGGCAGAAGTATGGAGGAGTAAGAGTATCAGTGGGTGCCAGGGGTTGGGGCGGGGGCGGGGGCAAGAGTGGGCAGAGCACAGAGGAGTTTTAGAGCAGCGAACATACTCCGTATGACATCATGGTGGATATGTGTCCTTATACATTTGTCCAAACTCATAGAATGTACAACACCAGAAGTGAACTCTAATATAAACTCTGGACTTTGGGTGATTATAATGTGACAATATAGGTTCCTACTTGGTATAAAATATGTCATCCTGATGGGGGATGTCCATAATGGGGAGGCTGTGTGTCGTGGGAGGGAGGAAGTATGTGGGCTATCTCTGTACCTCCCTCTCAATTTTGTTGTAAACATAAGACTGCTTTAAAAAACAGTCTTTTAAACAAAACAAAACAAAATGCAGTCTATTCTATGTTTATGCTGAGAATTAATACATCACTAAATAGATATATAAAATTAACTGGTGTTTATTATTTTTGTTTCTATATTTAAGGTTCTAATCAAACTTTTTCTTCCCTATCAACTACAATATTTTGGTCCCTATTTTAAGTAGATGCGCTTTCCAATTCCAAGCACGTCAGGATGCCGGGGTCTCTTGTGTGGGGGTTTTTTCAGACACATTTCCTGTCACCTTACGTGTGCCGTGCAGGAGGATCAGGTGACATGAGCAGACAGCAAGCAACACAAGAGGCCAGGCAGGCTCTGCAGACCCCCTCTGGGTCTCGGTTTTTATCTGACACCAACCAGCTATTCTGTTCATCTGGGAAGGTTAAATGGGGGCTACTCTGTGCCTCCGAACCACCTGCCTCTGAGTAGGGGCCTGCTTCTTTCAGTCCCGTCTGTGTCTACTGACAGGTGAGTCTTGGTCCTTACGTAAAGCCTGGGCTGGGGAACCTTCCCCGCTCCCTGGAGGACAGCTCCACCTGAGACCGTGATGCCTAGCTGTTCAGCATTGGCGACTGCCTTCACTGCTTTGTGCATTTGTCCTTGGAACCAATGCAGACACTCCTAAGAGAAGATCCCCCTTTATACCCGAGCCCACATCACAGGGCACTGCTTCCTGAGAGCAGGTTTTCGTTACATGGGCACATCAGGCTCCTGAGATGGGTGGAGGGTGGCCCCACAGAGGAAGACAACAAAACAGCAGGTGTGCAGCACTGAAGACAAACTTCAGGACATACAGGGCTAGCCTGCTGCCAACTTCTGCGGGTCAAGCTCTGCTTACACAAACATTTGTTTCTTTGTCTTTTTTTCCTTTCTCTTATTTCCTTATGTTTTCCCAGTACAGTGTATGTGTATCTGATTTAGCCTTTTATTTATATTGTCTCTCATTTTTTTTCTCTTTTCTCATATCTTCTTTTCACTGTCTTAATTTTATTTTAGTTTCTTCTTTGTTTTCTTTAGACTTTTATTTTCTTATTTTTTCCATGTCTTATGAATTTTCTCCCTTTCCTTCTTTTTTATTCCCCTGTTCTTCCGTTGTCTTTTTATTTAGAAATAAAATGCTTCCTGTGTGCTTGTTATGTGGGTTAAGTGTTAATTTGATAAATAGTTGTACGATTACAAACTGGAAAACTGGAGTGCTCTGGTTTTCTCTTTTCAACAACATTTTGACCAATGGAACCACTTGTTGAATAAAAGAAGCTAGTTTTTGGTGGAGATGAAACTATTATAGACACAGTACTCTAGTTTAATATAGACAGCAAATCTCTTACTGTATTTTAGACTCAATTTCTTCTTCTCTCAAGTGTGGTGTCTACTCTCCCCTCCTGTCCTCTCTACTCTTCTTTTCTTTCCTTTTTCAATTGGAAGTCAAGAAAGGGGCCCAGAACTATCTGGTGCTTGTTTACTGCGTGCTCTGTTCTGAGTATCTCAGCTATGGTGGTAGGAAAGTGGGAAAATATTGAAGGACTTTCTTGGTACACAGGGATTTAAATCACATGTGGACCCCTACTCTATGTAGCCTAAAACAACCTGTATGTCTGAAAGATAAGTTTATATAGGTATTTATTCAAATGAAAATGATCTGTTATCTCTTCAATGACCATTAAAATCAGTGATTACTATCTGGATACAATCTTTGAGTCACCAGCCCAGCATTACCACAGAATAGTCTTGTGAAATTCAGCCTCTTGATAAGATCATTACCAAGAAAAGTACCAGGGGTTTTGATTATGCTTCTTGTTATATGGTTAACCATGTAAAACTTGAGAGAATATGTGCGAACAAGTATATCCTCTCTTCTATTTATTTAGTCGCCTCTTTCAAAGGTCTTTTCCTTACAAAAGTGTGTCATGAAGTTATCAATTACAGTTGATGAAATTGTGTTAAATAACATCACCACAACTTTTGATAGAACTTTCTGGGTATCTCCCACCTTTGCACCCCAAAATTTGAGGACTTATGTGTAATCATTTGCTTCTTGTTTTCAGATAGTTTTGAGATCGCTGTGCCATCAAATAGCCACATCATCTCAGAACCTGGGAAAAATGTCACGCTCACCTGTCAGTTACCACAGAAGTGGCCAATACACAAGGTGTCGTGGGAAAAGATCCAGCCCCATCAGATCGACCTCTTGACTAGCTGCAACATGTCCCAAGGGAAAAGTTATACTTCAAAGTACCAAAGACAGATACTCAGTGACTGTAGTCAGGGCATGAGAAGCACCTTCATCATCATGCCCCACGTCACGGCCTCTGACTCAGGACTTTACCGCTGTTGTTTCAAGGCCAGTGCAGGGGACAATGAAACCTCTGAAACGTTCACGATGAGGTTGACTGTAACTGACGGTGAGTACGTGATGGATGTCTTCCACGGTTAAAAATGGAAAAGGCCAACCACTGTGGATTGGTTTCTGTTGTCTTTTTCATGACTCTATTGTTCAAAATATTTTTTAATGTTGGAGCTTAGGTAAGAATGCTAGGATTTGGTTTTTCTTTATCTTGCTAATCCATCAATCACAGATTTAACAATTATAAATCTTTCCAGTTTCTTGATCTGCCACATTCCTGAAATTAAAAAGACAATTGGTAAGTCTAAAAAAATACATGGTATTAACAGCCTGCGAGTTTCAGCTGGATAACTTCTATTTGTTTTCAACTACGGTGCAGCGTCGTGATGGTGGTGACTAAGTTTTATAATCCTTGTGTATCTTCAGCAATAACAAAATGGTGCTGGATTGGTATTTGCTGAGTCAGCGTTGAGTTGAATGGAATTTAATAAATGTTTGATAACGTTACTCCTTTGCGAGCTCAGGGCTTTGATTCCTTCCATTGTTTTCGGCCCTTGGAGCAGAAACAAGACTAGCCTTCTGGGCCTTTCAACCTTAGCAGGCTTCCCACAAGGCTCAGCACTAGTTTTGCATTAGTAATTTGTTTCCTGTGTCATAATGAAGCCCTAATCGTGTAAGCTGCAGGCCCCACAGAACCCGCGTGAGAGTAAGAAAAAGTAGCTTTTCACTTCCCGAAGTGCAAGTGCAGAGAGGCCTCGAGAGAAGTGTGTGGCGGGGTCGGAGTGAGAGGGAGGTGGTCTCAGGCTCTCCCGGCTCGGCCTCTGGCACATTTTCTCACAGCAGAGGAACATGTCAGAAGCAGCCATTTTTGCTGGTGACAGAAATCGTATTAACTTGTTCCTTCCATCCTTCCTTCCTTACTCCCTTCCTTCTTTCCTCTCACCGTTCGCTCGCTCGCTCGCTCTCTCCCCCATTCTTTCATGTGCTTCCAGCCAGCAATGGGCCTTGACCTGTGTGTAGACTTCTAGAGCCAAGGTTTCTCGGGATTTGGCTGTCCCTTTACAGACTCTGATTATACTGCAGACCGATGTCTATTCCCGCATTGGAAAAGAAGAACAACAGGATTCATAGCTGCAGCAGCTGTGTGTGCTAAGGAGGACATTGGCAAAGGACAGCACTTTCTCGTACATAATCACCTCGGACCCCATTGAGCCTTCTACGCTGCTCTTAGGGCAGCGTGGGTTGTGGGCAAGACCTAAATTGTTCTGAGAACTTGACATAAAAGAAAGGGGTAATGGAATATGTGGGGGAGAAAAATTAACAGAGTTTCTTCATTTTAAGTGTTGACTCCATACCGTCAGACGTATATACAAAATATTTTGTACCTTAAAAACAAAAACAAAAGCCTTGCATTAGAGAAATGTTTTTTAAACCTGGCCAGGGGAAAAAAAAAATCATTAGTTTTCTCTCAGAGACCAAGGCAAGGAAAATTTCTATTCAGAAAAATAGCATAAAGAACCTTTTTCAAACAAATAGAAAATAAAATCTTTTACATTATATGTTGAAAAAATAATTATAAACATCTTAAATTATAGAAAAAAATAGAGGTAACAAAATTTTAGGAGGTATAGTTATTTAACTTTTACTAATTAATAAAAATGCATTTGTCCAGACATGACTAAATTTCTTGCACAAAACTATAATATAAGCTGTAAACGATATGAAGGTGACTGAATGTAATGATCAGTATTGTTAGTGCCCATGTGTTTTAAACACTTGCAAAATGGCTTTTTGATATTCAATTGGCAAGTTAAAAGAATATCAACAGGGCTTATTAGTAAAAAGTTATAATTGTTGGAAAATGCCCACCTTTTGACTTTATGTTTCAGTTTAATTCCTTTTTAAAATAAATGTAAGTAAAAATTGAAAATAAAAAAGTCAGATGGAAAAGCAGAAATAGATCACTTGCATTTGCTCTGTTGTGATTTGATTATTTTAAGTCTTGAGGCTGTTTGGTGAAAAATCAATGTAGGGATTAAAGCAGAGAGACACGTATAAGATGTGGAGTAGATTTAATTTATTTCAACTGTCGAGAGAGAGGTGATTGTGACACAAATTTTATAAACTGCTATGCATCCTTTTGTTGCCTCCCATCAACTTCTTTTTTAGGATCCAAAGGAGAGATTTTCACGACTGTCATATTCTACACACACACAGGGCTCTTTCCTGTGGTTGTGTTCATTGTCAGACAAGTACTAGGTACTCAGAGGTCACCCAGAAGATAACACAATGTCAACCATGTCCCCTATATCCAGTTCTTGACATATTTTGAACAGAGGGAGAGAGTAGCGGAAGCGTGGGTTGAACCCGAATTTCCTATTGACTATCTTTGCTGGGTGAAAAATGTCTGCCTCTTGTCCTTTGCACTCAGAACCTGGGAAGTAGTTTGAAATAGCTCCAGATTGACTTTTTTGAATTTGAAACTTGCCTAGACCACAGGGGCAAGAAACAGGGGGAAATGTGAATATACTGACAGTGACCAAGATTATTTGGGGCCCTACATGTCATCTAGATTGTCCTTAGTCATGAGAAAAGCATCTTCGTTTCCACCAAAAGAATTTGGGAAGCTTTTTAATATGAACTAAATGATGTTGAGACTACTATTGTTTCAACTGAGCTTACTGATTGTAAAAAGAATGTGGATCAAAGAAATGAAATCAGCTCTCTCAGAAAGTTTCTGGAGGAGACTAGTTTTGAGCAAACCTCTGTTTGCTGCTGCCAAGCAGTATTGTTACTCATGTCCTTGTCCGATCTTCCGCCACCGATGAGGCCACTCATCTGAACCACCCAGTTCCAACTGATGATCAGAGCATAGAAAAGAGACAAAGTACGAGAAGTAACACAAAACATGCATGGGGAGGGTGGAGGAGGGATGAGGAACTTGTGTGTGGATGACTGCAAGCAAATGACTAGGTTGGTACAGAGATTTTGAATTCTGGGTTAATATAAAAGGAGGGAGGTTTAATTAGGGTGATGACTTGGTGCAGTTCTGGATCTCATATAAGATCAATGAAAGCCACCAAAATGGCAAAATGGTATTCAAGGACATGTAAGTGGGATCATTGAGTGCAGAATCAAAGAGAAAATTGAGACGGAGGAATCTAATTGTGAGTCAGTTGTAACAGTCAGTGCATGAATGCTCGAACTCACATACTAGATCTTTGGGCACAAAACGGAGCCCACTCCAGACAGACAAATTTAATGGCGTCTCCCCTGGGCCGGCAAATTAGAAAAAAGGTGCCCCTTCCTCCAGGTTGCTGCAGACCGCAAAGCTGGTGTGCAGGCTTGGTGGGGGGGCGGGCACAGGCTCCTTACCCACCTAGGCTGGCACAAACGTGGTCTGGACGAGGGCAGAGAGAGGTTAGTCTGATTAGAATGTCAGCTTGCGCTTGTCAAGGCCTTGCTAGTCACTCACACTTTCCTACTTTCTCTTTTTCCCAACCAACCTACTAGTTTTCATCACATTTACCTCCTTTCCTTTAGAGTTTCAGTCAGATCTCCTCCATCTTCATGATTTTTCCACATTAGCCCAAACTACTTCCCTGCCATTGAACTATTAAACATTTTGAATTTCTCAAACTTTTGTAACTTGGAAATGTATACCATTGAGTCACTTAATAATTGCATTTGTTTGCAGTGGTCCAGAGATTTATGTTAGAAATTACTTGAGATTAGGGATTATGGCATCTCTGCTTAGAGGTGTCAAAATATCTTTCCAGAATATTCTCATTAAGTGTTCTCAACTGATTCTTTGTATGTTAATATTTTTATCTATCCTAGTATATTTCTACATATTTTACTTATATTCTAAAATGTGTCCATTTTATTCTCAAGTTTTCTAGCTTGATTATTTCTAGGATTCCTTCATCAACATTTAACATTTGAGGTTTAGTGATAGCTGATCAAATAAACCTAAACTCTGAGGAGATCAGTTGCAATGTTTGGGGAGAAAACTTTCATGAATATTGTTTACATTTATATCTTTCAAAAAAGCCTATTTCCTTTCTTAACTTTATTTTGTTTTGCATGTTTTATATAAATGGTGGATAATTGCAAGTCACTGGATCTGGTGGATGGGGTTTATAAATGAAAATTACAGAAGTATTCACTAGAAAATCATGGGGCCACAGCCAAGGGAATCTTCCCATATGTTTCTTCTGCGAGGTATAGGGTTGACAAACAGGTGGGAGCGTAGAGGAACAGAGTGCTTGCCTATGCGTGGCTTGATGGAGATTGACTTTGGGACTCAGTGCTCCTGAGTTGGACTAGAAGAACATGGAGGAAGAGAAATGAGCTTCATTTGTTTCTTTGGCCTTTAGTTTCCACTAAAATGCATCCAGTTTGCTCCCAGATGATTTGGGTTCCTGAACAGTGTCAGATGTAGACAAGAGAATTTTTTTTTTAAGGATCTACTCATCCAGAACCTTCTGTCCCATCCTTATGAATTTATGATAGGTCTGAATATTGTAGGCATGGGCGTTGTCTGAGCTGGTATGCATCAGAATGTCAGATACCATGACATAGTGTGATGAACTTCAGCTTTTTAATATCTTCACCTACATAGAAAATAATGTTCCTGACAGTTCTTATAATTAGAACCACAGCACCAGAATCCAAAAGCACTAGTGTCACTGCTCACAAGATCAAATAGTCTCTACCAAAATGGATCAACTGCAATTTTCAGCTCAGTTTAGTTGTTTTTAAAATTCTGGGTGATAACTGGATATCCAAATGAAACATACTGTTTCCAACATCACAAGTAAGTTGATTACTCAATCATGGCCTATTATGTCTCTGTGTCTTTACAGTCGCCTCTGCCCAAATCAGTTCTTGTAGGAGACATTGCGTTAAAAAAAAAAAAAAAAAGGCAGCTAACTAGTTAGTTTGTTTTGTAAGCCCCACGTATTGATTTATTCATCTTTCCTAATGCACAAAATCCTAGAATGTTTGCCTGCAGTCCTTTTTGTATACATACCATATTTGTGTAGATAAACAAGG